CAAAACACTACCTCAAAATCACCTTCTCTGCGTCGTATGGCGTGGGTCAAGGTCGTTCAAGATCAAACTCAAGACACCCCTTCAAAGTCACCTTGGCTACTTATTGTGACGTATGTAGAGGTCATTGTCAGAACGCACTCCAAAAGCCTTCGTCCATGTAGCTAAAGGTCGATCAAGGTCCGAATCTTTGAATCTTCGAAATAGCCGCGTGAGTCAATGAAGTCAATACACTACTGCAAAGTCACCTTGTCTGCGTCGTGTGACGTAGGTGAAGGTAGTTCAAGCATACTGTTATGAGTGTATCGTGACAAACACCATGAATCTCAACTATTGTTTGTATTGTTATCATTATTACTAGTGTTAGTTGCGACTAATAGCGTCCGGACCTAACGCCTATGGACTCTTCACCTCTGGGGAAGGTTGAGAGATCTCATTTTTATTTTGTCGACCCATTCTAGATACGGTTCGGAAGCGGCAGTAATGCAAAGTATTGCTTCTCTCATTCCTTTTGAACTTAATTTTTCGGCAAAAAACGTTCAGGAGAGGTGTCGCAAGTGTGTGGGAGAAGCTGTACAGACATTTTGAATACCTCCTCTGAGAAAATGTTTGTTATTTATTATTATTATTAGGTGTTGTCGAAGTTTCATTTATCAGTAGTGAATATATGAAGTATAAATTGTTATCAGTTTCATTGGAACTATGCATTTTGAATAGTGCTGTGATAAGCTTCCTCAGCATTTGGTACCTACTTGATCAAAGTGTGCGTTTGAAAAGTCTACATGAAAAAACCTAAAAGCTCTGTATTTCAAAAAGGACTCTAGAAAAACATCAAGTGTGGTGCATTTTTGGAAAGGTAATTTTTTGCTCTATTGAAACTTTTGAAGATGCACATTTTTTATCTCGTAAAATCGAAAATAAATGTGATGATATAATGACAATATTTTCCTCCTCTATTTCTCGGGTTCAAATCGGAAAATATCGGTATTACGAAAAAATTGATGTGAACTGAAATTGTAGGGTATTCAAGCAGCTGAAGGTCATTCAATGTCGAATCATCAAAATTTCAAAATAGCCGTAACAAACAATGAAGGTCATTAAATGTCAAACTCAAGACACTACCTCAAAATAATCTTGCCTGCGTCGTTGTGTGACGTAGGTCAAGATCATCTAAGGTTAAACTCAAAACGTCCCCTCAATGTCACTTCAGGTACGTTGTGCCATGTAGGTTCAAAACTTCAAGACGCGTAACTGGCTCGAGTTCATTCGAGGTCAAAGTCACCTTTTCGAAAACATGTGGAGTGAATGGAGGTCATTCAATCAGCGAATGCATATGATATTGCAAAAGGTCACTCAAAGTCAAACTGGGAGCGCACTCAAAAAGCCCATTCGTCTATGCAGCTGAAGATCGTTTAACGTCGAATTCTTAAATTTTCGAAATAGCCGCATCAAACAATGGAAATCATTCAATGTCAAATCCAAAACACTACCTCAAAGTCACCTTGCGTGCGTCGTGTGGCGTGGCTCAAGGTTAAACTCGAAACGCCGTGCTGGTTTAAAACTTCAAGCTGACCAACTGACTCGAGTTCATTCGAAGTCGAAGTTACCTTGTCGAAAATATGGGGAGTGGATGAAGGTCATTCAAGTTCATATCCAAATATTGATGCAATGAAAAAATTGATGTAACCAAAATCATACGAAATTCCATTTTATACAACTTTGTTCATCATAACTTTCCCGCGTGAAATCGAAAATAAACGTGATAATACAATGATACGATTTTACACCATCATTTTCTCGGGTTCAAATCGAAAATATCGATCCTACGAACAAATTGACCAAAATCGAAATAGTAGAAAATGCAATTTCGTACAACTTTTGTCATGGCTATTTTTCATGTGAAATTGAAAATAAACGAGCTATTCAATACAAATTTATATTTTCAGTCGTAAAACGGCTTCATATACTACCACTAGAACTACTACTATTACTGTTTGTGTGAATGTGTAGCCACAGGTTTGACACTACCACTACTACTGTTTGTATGTATTATGTAGCCCTGAAAAGGGCTGAAAAGGACTCTAGCAAAACATCAAGTGTGCTGCATTTTGGGAAAGGTAATTTTGAGCTCTATTGGAACTTTTGAAGATGCATATTTTTTTTCTCCTAAATTCGAAAATAAATGTGATTATATAATGATAACATTTTCCCTCTCTTTTTTTGGGTTTGAATCGAAAAATATCGGCATTACGAAAAAGTTGACGAAGACCAAAATTAAAGTGGAATTCAAGAAGCTACAGATCGTTCAATGTCGACTCCTTGAATCTGCGAAATAGTCACATCAAACAATGAAGGTCAATGCCAAACCCAAAATACTACCTCAAAGTCACCTTGCCTGAGTCACCGTGTGATGTAGGTTAAGGTCGTTCAAGGTTGAACTCGAAACGCCCTCGCTCAATGTCAACTTGGGTATGTTGGGTCGTATAAGTTCAAAACTTCAAGCTACGTAACTGGCTCGAATCCTTCAATTTTCGAAATAGTCGCATGAAACAATGAAGGTCATTCAATGTCAAACCCGAATCACTACCTTAAAATCACCTTGCCAGCGTCGCCATATTACGCAGGTCAAGGTCGTTCAAGGTTAAACTGGAAACGCCACCTCAATATACGCTGTGTCGTATAGGTTCAAAACTTATCGAAAACATGGAGAGTGAATGGCGGTCATTCAAGGTTGCACCCAAAACACTGCGTCAAAGTCACCTCGGCTACTTCGTGTGACGTATATGAGGTCATTATCAGAATACCGTCCAAAAGCATTCGTCCATGTAGCGAAAGCTCATTCAAGGTCGAATCCTCAAATCTTCGAAATAATGATTATTATGCGCGATATCAAACTGACTCCAATACGTGGGCGGCCACTCGTTAATATGCTCACTCAAGAAGTGGGGGAGGGACAAAGAATACATGAGCGCCCCCAAATTTACTTCAGCAAAGGCATATGATATTTCAGAAGGTCGAATCTTTGAAATAGCCGCGTGAATAAATGCAGATCGTTCAAAGTCAAACCCAAAAACACTACCTCAAAGTCACCCTGCCTCCATCGTGTGACGTAGGTGAGAGTCGTTCAATGTCAAACTCGATACAATCGTTCAAAGTCACCTTCGTTACGTTGAATGGTGTGGGTGCAAAACTGGCTCGAATTCATTCGAAGTCAAAGTCACCCTGTCGAAAATATGGGAAAAGAATGAAGGTCATTCAAGGTTAAACCCAAAACATCTTCTCAAAGTCACTTTGCCTACGTCTCCGTATGACGTAGGTCAAGGTCGTTCAAGGTCAAACTCGAAACACCTCTCCAAAGTCAGTTTGGCTGCTTTGTGTGACGTAGATGTCATTTCAAGTGGTGGAGGGAAATTCTGAAATCGGCCTAAACTCTCTACTTTTATTTTTGCTATCTAAAGTTTCAAGCTGAGACAACAATTTCTCCAAAGAGTAACACACTTTTTAGATATATGCAATATATTAAAATTTTGTAGGTTTTCACTTTCAATTTTGAAATTTTTAATTGTCACACTTTCATTGTCGTATTTAAGACTTTAACAAATGGGCTATTCGACTACGCAATACTGCTGGCTGTAAAAATTCCTGAAGCCAGTTCTTGGTTTAGGATGATTACGTCAGATGTTATATAACATAATTGCTCTGCTTTTCTTATAACTTCGCAATGAGGTGGAATAATAAGAGTATCATTGTATGGGTTATTAAGAATTGGCAATATTACTTCGTTATTACAAATTTGCCTAGAAATAGTCCAATCATTGTAATCTAATTTACATTTATGTTCAATGATAAAGTCCCTTCCTAATATATACCATCTACTGGGATCGGAAAATTACTTTCCACTACTTGAGAGGTATGATATACATAGAAGTTGTCAAAGAAAATTTTTGTGACGGTAGATGCAATGGAACTTGTACAGCCTTTTGTAACTCCTTTTATGTGGACTTTATTTGCCCTGTTGACTATTTGTTCATGTTTAATTTCGTCTCTTTCAAAGAGAAATATGTCGTGATGATATGTCGATGAGAACATCGTATTCAAGGAAAGCGGTAGAGTGTCGCTACTCATCGGGGTACTATACTATAATTCCAAAATACTAGGCACTTAATTCCCAAAACTGGCTGACATTTTTGCCTTAATCTGTCTCTCGCAGTGACGCACGGAAATTATACCCAACAGATGAGGAAAAATGATAATGAAATATATAGAATCACAAACTTGACAACATTGTTTTCATTTCAATGCAATGTTATTTTTGAGAATTTATTGCCTACTATCATGAAATTGTACTAAACCAGAACTATGTGAATTGATATTCACCAAAGTGCCACCAAAAATCATCAATTTCAACAACTTTTTTTTGCTCAGAAATAATTATTCTGTATTTCCCAACATTCAATGAAAATTTGAAAGAAATTCATAATTTGGCATTGAGTTTCATTGTGTGTCAATACACTAAACGGCAGATGTCTCTCATAACACTTCACCAGAACTGTTTCTTGTGTTTCATGGTATCTAGTGTCATATTTTTTGTCTCTCTGTTTTAATTCAAAGGCACATGATTTTACACTGTTGATTCATGAATTTAAACAAGTTAATATTTCAATAAGACATTATCAATAAATCATCATGCTTTAGTGAGGCAACAAGTTATTTCACCCTGTTGACTTGTCCAATTCCACTAACATACTTCAACTTTAAGAATTTTACATATTTTTTTGATTCGGTCAACCTCAAAAACAGTAAGTCTCAACTTTGTTGACTGAATTTCGAATATTAATGTCATTACAAACCTTTTGCAGTTTTTCTCTAATGATGATAAAAAAGTTTATCGAAATAATGGAATAACTTGTGTGTAAACAGCAGAACGAAAGTGTACTCTAACTTAGATACACATAATATTCAAATGATGATATTCATTTCGCAATTTCAACAAATATACTTACAAGAATCCGTATTTACTTTCACCAATATCGTGAAAGATATGAAAGACATACTCATTGCTATCATGGCACCAAGTAAACGTAATCTGAGATCTATTCTGTGGGCAAAAAGAGATACTATCACTGTAGTTAAAGCTGTTGGTACAGATGACAGCATTGATGATATGGATGCAAAATTAGTCTGCAGAAAAGTTTTGTTATTGGGATCATAATTCTCCTGGCTAACATCCCTGAACTTGTACATCCAGTACTGAAAATTCAAAACATTGATTGAAGTGACATAAAACACAAATTAACTGTATGTATACCAGCATCCTATTTTATTTCAGTTATTCAATTCATGCATGCGAAAGGAATGGAGAGATAAAAAGAGGGTATCGAAACTTTCCCTCTCTCTTCGAATTCTAGAATTAAAAAAAGAGAAAGGAGAATAAGGCAACACATTGAGAACTAATGCGCATTTCAAGCCAAGAATTAGTATGGTTACGCCATCATTCATTAGTTATTGACCGTATATTGCTTTCCCAAACACCTAGGAGTTTAAATTTCAAATTCGACGGATTTCGAAACAAAAAGTGGTCAGTGACAAATGAAAAGAAAACTTCCACCAAATATACATAAAAAGAACTTCCGCATTGATGAAAAACGGAAATAATCTGATGTTAGTTGTCAAAGTAACTAACGAACTTTTTTGTTCTCAAAATTCCACAAAGACCATTGTTTCTGGTGAATGTTCAGCCGTTCACCAGGTGTTAATCCACGAAGTGTTAGTTTGTGCGTTGGTTATAGTGCGCAAGAACCCTCCAGATTTCTGGTGAGTACGTTCTGTCACGAAACTGTTCACGATATCATCTGCTAACTCTTGGGAAAACCAAATTTGTGAGTTTTGATAGCAGTATGGAGATGTTCTGTTAGCCAGGGACAGGGGTGAAGTGATTGGTTTTGAAGCCCTTTTGCTTGATCGCCTGGGCCTGAGCGCAACAGAACTGTTAAAGGGCACTTCTGGGTCGGCGATTGGGGAGCGTCCTTGTACTCGACCAGGAGTCAAGGAGATTCCTAATTGTCCGTCGCGACAGGTTTTCTCCGTAAATACCCCCGATGACTTCGTCCACTTTGGTCAGCCAGAGGAAAATATAAACACGACTGAGTTGAATGAACCGGCAAACAAAAAGCAAAGGTTACCTTTTCCTCCTCTTCCTTTTTCATTCAAATCAGCCTCTCAGGCGGTCGAAAATAGAAGCACTAAGCTGAAAAAATCGACTAAAAGGTAGTCAAACTTTGGGATGTGGCTCGAAACTTGTCCGAGTCAGAGCTATCAACCAGTGAATCCTCTGTGGAGGGTATGTGAATGACGTTGACGTGAGTGATGGTTCTGATATTGCAGCCAAGTCAATCTCCACCATACAAGGTGGCCCCAAAAATTGTTTGATTCAAAATGTTGATCAAAATCATCATTTACGTCGAGTGCGCCGGCAGACACCTTTCAGCTGAGTGCAAAAAGCCACGCGCAGATCGGCCTGAGTGTAATAATTGCAAGGGTAAGCCTACTGCAAACTACCGCGGTTGTCCTGATTTCCCTAATGCTCGCAAGAGGACCAGAGTGCCCCCCGAAATTTTCACCCACACCTGGAGCATCCTGCCGGAGCATCTGTAACACGCCCGAGTATGAGCTATTCTGGAGCGGCCAAGGCCATCTGTCGAAGGTTAGTGACATCTGTTCCGCTCTGGATCAGATAAAGAAACTCTTTGAATTTCACTAGTTCGGACTTCCATTGTCTACTATATAAAATGATTTGAAATCCCTGAAACGACTAAAAAAGAAGAATAAAAAAATGAATAGCTGAAAATAACAATTATATTAACCAAAGTAAACCTGAAAGGAAGTGTAATAAAATACAAATAAAAATAGAACAATTGAATAAATAAAAATAAAGAAATGAAAAAAAGGAAATAAAAATAAAAAGTGGAGAGATTCCAAGTCACGTTAGTTCACGACGTAATTTAGTCGCTCAGTTAGTGAAGGCCCCACGATGTACGTTGAAGTGAACAGTTTGTTCATTCAATATCTCAGTCAGGAAGGGATACACAGGGCCAGAGACGCATAGAGGTCACTGACCTCAATGTCGCAACCAAAAACCTACAGTTTCAAATCATTCGCTTCCTGACGAACCTAAGTTGAAAGGGTAAGAGAATATTTTTCCAACCTGATTCCAACCTGATTATTGCGAAGATAACTTTGCTGGTGAAAAAACAGATGTACAAATATCTCACCATTTGATTCAAGAGTGTCTCAAGGATCACTTCTTTTGATTTCGATATATGTTTCAGATGTCTTTGAAATGATGAGGAACTATACACTAGATCATCATGCTGACACCACCAAGCTATATCAAACTTTCACTAAAAATAACTGAGGACACGCTGTCCAGAATGTAAATAATGATCTTGATTTCTCAAATCTATTCATGAGTATACTGATTAACACTTGATGATAAATTTTTGATACCACTGATATTGAAACACTTTTCTATATTTCTGGTCTCTGTTATTAAAAAATAACATTTACGAATGAGTATCGATAACTGTATTCGAAACAAAGTTCAGGAATCATAATGAATAGTGGCAATAACAGTCGATTATATTGACAATGAATGCACCGGCTTTGATATTTGTCTCTGTTGTACACAATATAATGTAATGGTACAGGTATGCCAAAAAATATTCGAATTGGAGTATCGTAAAGTGACAAAAAGTAATAATATGGAATACGTACATCTGTAGCCGTAAGGAGAAAGGTAAACGGTATCATTATTGCGAATCCAAGAATCACGAAAAAGGTCATGATAAAATAATATTTATCTTCTGGAGGTGGTGCTGGTGGATTATCCAGTTTCTGGGAAAATTTTTCCATGGACAGAAGAGAAGCTGCAATGAATAAATCTGATATAAGTAATAACTATTATGATACTTTCATTCATTTCATCAACTTGTAATGATTAATATACAGGTGACCACATAAAAACGAGCCTTTTGCATTGAAAATTGGGAGAAAAAATCCATTCACAAAAGTCAACGCTCAAGGTGTTTGTAACAAAGTCTTGTTAGTATTTGTTGAGTTGATTCTTTCATCACAACGCAAAAACAGTTAACCTCTGATGGAAGTCCATTATGTCTCAAAGTGGAATGCAGTAGATTTGCGAAAAATAAAAACTGTGGAGACGACTTTGAGTTTTTATTCTTCGCAAAGCAAAAAAAATTGGTGATTTCCGAGGAGGGTATGAAATGAATATGTGATAAAATAAAAGTGTGAACAAAAATCAATTCAGAACATGAGTATATATGAACAAAAGTTGAATAAATCAAATGAAAAAAGTTGAATGTGAAACTATGAGGAAGTTGAGAATAAGGCATTGACCGACTTGAAGAAACAAAAATGGGTGCTCGTAATGAATCAGAAATCTTCTGCAAAGAAGCTCTCAGGTTCTCATTTCATCCATCAGTCATTGAAAAATGTGGAAAACCTCCAAATAACGAAAGAAAAAGTTACAACAGAGAAAACTGTTTCATTGCATTCAGGAGTTTCTCTCAGAAAAAAACTGAAAGAAAACCCCTTTAGAAACAACTACTCCTTATGGTTTATAAATCATATTCGATTTTTGCTATAGCCATTCGTTATATAATCGAAACAAATATTCTCAGAAACGTTGTACAATGTACATGTACTCTTGTGAGCTTGAGTTATATATGTTACCTTCTATACTAAATGAACTAAATTTGGTTTGAATGGGTAGAGATTACTCCGCCAAACCTACAGTGATACATACTATTTGATTCCACCAAGAGCGGTACATATCAGAAATATGCGATGAACTGTGGCTGCTCATTGTTTTGAGGTTCGACTCAGTGCACCTCGAATTTCACTTTTCGAGAAATCTTTCATTTAGAGTTCGTATGGAATGAACTTCCTGAGAACGTTTTTCCAAATGGCTTTGATCTCCAGCGATTCAAATCCAATCGCACAGGCACCGCTATTGAAGCGCCTTAAGGAGTTTCCTGTAGTGCTTGTGTTTCGTCCTTGAAAAAGCAGATAGCGATTATCCATGATGTATGTCCCTAAAATATAATGAAAGCAAATCTTGATTGAACTCATTTTCTGATCGTCATATTCTTTCGAATTATTTTCTACTCCTAATGATCATCGAAGCAAATTATTAATATTTCATCCGGTCTGAAAAGTGATACTGTAACTGCCAGAAATGTTCAACATCAGCGTTTCGGTAAAAAAAAGCTTTCTTTAATCTCAGAAACCATAGTTGCTGTTTGAGAAATTTGTTTTACGATAATTGGAAAAACATTCTCAGAAAGTTTATTCCACATAAACGCAGTTCCCTAAATGAGATAGTTCTTAAACAGTGAAGTTCGTGGTGTACTGAGTTGAACCTGAAAACGATGAGCAGCCACAGTTCGTTGCGTATTTTCAGTATGCACCGCTCTTGGTGGAATCAAATGTACCAAGGCACTTGAACACTTTCCGCGAAAGAGATAAATCTCCAACTTCTCTCCGATGTTCCAGACTATCAAGATTGTAAGTGATGTTCGCGTCTCCAATCAGGCAGATGGCTTTTTTTCTTGTGGTGGAATCGAACAGCTTCAGGGTATGCTTAGAGGCCGAGCTCCATACATGAGAACGATACTCCAAAGAAGGTCTGATCTGAGCTTTATAAAGCATCCACAGTTGCTGAGGTGTATACAGTTTTCTGGATCGAAATAGTGTTTCGAATTTTCGAGAAGCAGCCTTTGCAATTCCAGCAACATGATTATGCCAAGATATATTGGTGTCCATTTTAACACCCAACAAACATATCGAAGCGGAATTGTCTGTACTGTCATTATTCTATCCGGTTTGGAGACATTTATCTAGATTAACTAACTCGAATCTAAGTGCGGATGAAATGACAAAATGGAAAAAAATGTGAATCAAAAACTGTTAGATATATTAGCTATAATCTTTCACAATTCGACAAATGAGCAAAGCTGAACTGATAGAAAGCCTACTGGAGCTGTAATGAAAAGAGAACTGAAACGTTCACTATCAAAAGTTACTGCATAATATAAACTACAGAATAGACGAACCAGTCAGTCTGGTGAGGATTTTGTTACTAGTTTTGTGCCAGACTGTGTTTTGTGCTAGGCTGAACACCGAAATATCCTGAAAAGGACAAGGCTGGAAGTAATCTTCTGGAAGTTAGGGCATTAACACTCACGCCCACGGACGTTTCATCTATGGGATCGATTAAAGAGTCAATACAATATCAAAGATAATTGAGGCTTCCACTGAAAGCTGCAGTAGAAGACGAAGGGCGAATATCTTCGGCGATCGATGTCAAAGCTTGGCTTTGCAACTGACCAGCTTAGGGATCTTTGATATTCGAAGATTGAGTCTCTTGTCAATTCAGCATCTTGGTAGGGAACAATGTCACCGCCTTTACTTTCAGGCTTGACTTTCCCAGGACAGTTCAGTGGTTAACATATAACCATTGATGAGAAATGGTGGGTAAAAACAGCGCTGTTTGATCAAGAATTCAACTAGCTGCCTTGAAGTTAGATGTACTCGTCGATTTAGTCTATGTTGAAGTTCTGCTTTGCAGTTCACCGTCTTGGAAAGCTTCGTAGTTTTCTGATATTTGGGAATTATGTCTTTTGTCGATCCGATAGATGACAGCTCAATAGGAGGAGATGTCATCGTGTCTACTACTCTTTATTAGTTGAGTTTTGAACATCCTCTAAAAAGGATATTCGAAAACAAATGAAGTTGCTGTCAAATTTTGTTTTTTCACTTAAATGAGCAGATTTGTTGCATCCAATTTGCATCAAGTATTGCAGTGATATCAAATCATATTCAGTAACAATATTCATTTCAATTTTCACTTACCTTTCCTTTCAAATACCTCATTATACTGTTTCAGGTCAGCCATATCAATGTTTCAGTTCGTTCTATTTTATTAAAAAGTATTCATAGATTTTTCGTTCAGAGAAACGATTCATCAACAAAATGATTTGGGCGTCTGATCGAGAAAATTATCAAATCAGTATTATGAATCAGTAATGATGATAATGATAATGAGATTAGTGTTTTATCAAACTTTGTCAAGTGCTGATTGTTCGTGAAAATAATATTTTCAATTATTGTTTTTCCAATGGATTTAAAGTGATTTTTTTTTTCTATTTTTTCAACATAGACTTTGAGTTTTTCGAAATCAAATTTTTGAGGTAATCAATTGACAGCACTGAAAATGATTATATACAGAAAAGCTTATTGAAAAAAATCATTTATGAAGAAAAATGGCAGATGAACTTGAAAACTTTCATATCCAGCCTTTTTCTTTATTTTGAATTGAACATGTGATATTGCAACTCTTAGATCTCTACTTGACTTATGTTGAAGAGTTGTATCTGGGAATATTTTTCCATGATTTTGTTTTCTCTTTTTGTCTTCTCTTGTCTTCACCTAAGGAAATTTTATTATTAGCATAATTCTATATCGGTACCAACACGGACAGCTGCAGAAGTTGTTGCATGTCGAGTTGAATGGCTTTTGAATATATTAATGTGAATGCCACTTTCTTCTAGAACACTTCTAATCCACCTACTCACGGTTTGTGATGAAACATTGTGATAAGGTTTTTTGTGTGTTAGAAAAAGCATTTCATTTTCTCCATTCATCCTGAATGGTTTGGTTGTTTGTGAATAATGTGACAGGGTACATGCAATACAAATTCCAGGCTTTCCATTAATAAAGAAAAAAATTATGAGAGATTGTTTCCAATTTGGTGCACTAGTTTCCAAGACACTCGATATAAAAAATTAAAATTTTTTGTTTTCATAAATTTTTACGTTCACTAGATACAGTTTTGGTAAGAGACATAAAATCTCAAGCAATAACAGAACTTGAATAGGATCACAAGGATACGAGTAATTCAAAAATCTTCGTCTAATTTTTTCATAAATTTCAGCAAAAAAGTAGTGTTAGGGCTGAGCGATGAGTATTCAATGTCGCATAAGATGCTTCCTCATTAAATTCACTCTGTGAGTGATCTCCCCAATTGAGAATATTATAGAGGATATGCTTGGTTCAGGAACATCTTTTAATATGAACGACCTTCGTATAATGTCCCTACAGCCAGGGTGAGGTTCTTGTGCATAGGATGTGATTTCATGAAAGGAAACAGAAAGAATAACTTCACAAGACCAAAATATAGAATATCTGAATCAGTTTTGTAAGTTTTGGAAAAGCGGGTACCATGGTTGTGAAGGCCATAATAGGACAACCATGATTACTTCAGCTCCTTCCAAAACTGTCTTTCTCAAAACACGTGTTGTGAGAGGAAATGGTGAAAATTCATAGCCATAGGTGTTCGACCATGAGATTGTAAAAGCATCTACCGCTAATGATTCAGGGTCTTTGTGTCATGATATGAATGTTTAACATATTTTATTAATAAATGATGTGAATGAGTCAATTTAATGTCCACCAAAACTTCTTCTTATTATTTTATGAACCTGACTATTCATAGAATACTCAGTATCTAATAATAGAAGACTTGGAGCCCTATCTGCTGGAATATTTCCTCTTGTGTCAACCTATGACGCAAAAACCACAATTTTTCTTTCGCACCATTCCCAAATATTCGTATTCAACTCCCCATTCTGTTGATCAGTGAAATTGCTGTAGTATTGTCGATACGAACAAAAATACGACAATGTGTTTTATCTTTGGCAAAACATTTTCGAAGTAATCAATATGCATCTCTTTTTCTTCCACGATCCAGAAATCATTTGCACTTCCCCACCCCGTTAGCGATGCATTTAAGTAAATTTCTAGTGCATAACCAGTGATTTTGAAATGGTGCACCTCAGAATGCTTCAGTTTCGGGTGGTGGGTTTGATTTTGAGACAATTGAGACGCAGGTAGCTAGCAGAGTATATATGATATAAATGAGGACAACATTGTATGTAGATTTAGTTCAATCTATTTCTTGAAAATGATCGCTGGCTGATTTCAAGAGGTGTCGAGGTGTTGAAAATGAAAATAACGGTTTGGTATTGGCATATAACTCCAGTAATATTTTTTTCCAGATGATGCAAAATCTACCAATGTTCAATTCAATTTTTCATTCGTACTAATTATTGAGATAACGATCACTAGAGAAACGAATAATTTGATATTAATTTTTGTTAATCTGAATTGAAAACTCATCGATAAAGTTTGAGTGGTTCTTTGAATCACATTTTTCATGTAAATATTTTTTTCACAGGTAGGACAAATCACATATTCAGAGATCAGCAAAAATGTTATTACCAATGGACCAGATGGAACGCATTTGTGACCCTACGCTAGACAGCGCTATTTCTGTTGCAGTCTGTTGTTGGAACACAAAGGCGGTGTGTTTGGGCTCTGTTCATTTCAACTAGTTGCCTTTTAGCAAAAGCTGCAGTGAAAGACGAAGAACAAATTTCGTCGGCAGTTAATATGAAAGTTTGGTATTGCAAATGACCGAATTGGAGAGCCTCGTTTATCTTCGATATTCAGTGATTGGTCCATAGATTATGTCTTCGTAAAGGGAGATATCATCACCCTTTTCCACTCAGGATGGTTCTCAAGGACAGCTGAGTACATCAATGCATTTGTGGTTCAGCCTAGCACCACTGATGCAACTTCGGGCAGGTCGTGAAAGCGCTGCCTAGTGTTGGATTACGGTACTCTGTTCATCTCGACTAGTTTCCTTACAGTGAAAGACCGAGGCCGAATCTTGTCGAAGCTTCATTCTGCAACTGACTGCTTTGAAGTCTCTTGAGGATACAGTTCATCTCAATGGGCTACATAAAAATTACTTTTTGTGAATGAAAGTGAGGCTCTATGAATAATCTGAAATTTGGAATATTTTTGATGATATTTGAAAACATTTTTTCAGTTTGAAATGCTTAAATAACAGATGAAGACTGATTATGACTTTTTCTGATTATGAGATTAAAAATATCATATGTGGACTAAAAAATAAGAAATCTCTTAGTATTGACGAAACTCCTATGGAACTCATAAAAAAATGTCAAGATCTCCTTTCACCGTATTTGTCGAAACTAATGAATATGTCTGTCGAAAATGGCAAATTTCCCACTGCCTTGAAGGTGTCGAAGACAATACCTGAATAATGTTAGATTTTAATGATTGTATCCGGATGTATCCGATGATTGTAACTAACGAACCTACACTTATGTGGCTAATGAGGTAATAAAGTTATCTATCTATCTATGAGTGTCCAGTTCCATTTGAAATGCTATGAAGGAAAACCGAAAGAACTCAATTGTCAATTTTTATTGATATTTAATGAGTCCCGGAATTTTCCAAACATTCCATCGTTTTTTAAGAGGGGAAATCTGATTGAATAGTGATCCGTTTCAGATAGTTTCTGCCTTATTTTGTTTATTTGTGCTACTTGATCATCGTCTGGTCGTAACTTGTTGAGAATCAGATCCCAAACACATGTTATTTTTTGAGTTATATGTTTTGTTTTATGAAAAAACCTGTACTAGAAAATAAATCTAGTTGCTATATGAACTTTTTCATAAATTGTTTTCCGAAGAGGATTTTCAATGATTTCAATAATTTTGTTGTGTTACGTTATCAAAATTGTGACTCTTCACACTGACACAGAATCGTTAGGGACTGCTGATGGATAGATCAATTTCCCGAATTTATTTACGGCAGAATTTTCGAACCGCTCGGTATATACCCCATACAATGCTTTGTTTTTCGAAACTATTTTTTGGACGGAAAACGAATATAGACAGCAATATATCCCATTTTATCCATAATAAAACCTGAAGTTGATATTCCAGACTACTACTCGTTACCCTGTATTTTGGGAGATATTTCAAAATAGCGCATTGTGTTGATATCTTGTCGAATCAAACGACCTGGCGCAATGCGGAACTGTATACCGCAAATTCAAAAAGCCAATGTGAATGGCTTCTTGTATCTTTACAACAAACATTGTTTCATTTCTCTACCAATACTTCTCCTAATCTCTGTTGTTGGTTTTTCAGTTTTCTTTATATGATATTGAAGTTTTCCTTTTCATTTTCATTTTCGACTGATCTTTATTTATGTCAGTCAACTTGATTTCCCTCACAAATTAGCTCAGTAATACCTTTATTTTGAGGATATTTGAAGTTAACTTATTGTTTATTCTTTTAATTTTTTTCCATTCGATACGTTGAAAATCTGTTAGATTTTCAAAGCATTCTAAAGAATATTTAGCCATTGATGATGATAGGTAATAATCATTCAAGAAATCATTTTGTACACACTTTTAATTTTAATTCATAAATATTCGTACATTTTTCAGGATATTTGAAGTTAACTCATTGTTTATCCTTTTCATATTTATCGATCCAATACGTTGGAAATTTGTCAGATTTTCAAAGCATATTTATCCAAACTTGACTGAGAGGAGAAGTTGCACACATCAAGATAATTGTAATGCCCTGAAATAATTGATATGCTTGTTCCGTCCTGTCACCAGCGAAACTGAAAAAAAAAGTTGTATTTCGGAATGGCATTCTGTTTTTGTGAGCTCATCATCGAATTATTTTACTTAAAAAGGAGTAGGAGATGTTACCAAAATGTTTTAAAGAAATGCTGAAGATAGAGATGGTGGAAGGGAAAGAAGAAAAAATAAATGATATTTTATATATTCAAATGAGAAATTCTTTCGATATTGTCATTTGTTGGGTATTTTCATTATCAAATTCATGTGGTCGTGCTGGAATCTGGAAGAAGATTACATATTGAAATATTTTCCAGTATTCACAAACAGGTTACACCGCGATGACCGTTTGTTGGCTGTATTTTGGGAATAATGGCACTTTATCAACGATTTCGGTTTTACCGGAAGTTGGTACCAACTTTATTGATTCAAAAGTAACACCCTGTATATTTTCACATTTCAGAATACCTGGCATAATCATAATATGAGTGTATGTAAAATACCCTTTACCAAAAGTGAACCGTCATCAAGATATTCCTTTGTTGACTCAAAACTAAATATTCAGGTCTCGAGTGATTTCCCGATAAAATTCAAAAGTTCGACTGAATATATAAGTGAGCTATCATCAAATCAATTTATTCCATCGTCTTGTAACAGTAACGTTTCCAAAATGTAATACAAGTTGTTCGGAATCAAAAATCAACCCTTCACGAGATATGCGCATGTTCACAATTGAACTATGGGCTACGAAACCTCTATTTCGAACGGTTACAGAAAGTTTATTAAAAAAAAATATTGATTTACCGTCATCGTTTTCATTGAAAACAGGATTTCAGACGAATAAATAATGAATTGGAAAATGTTTATTCTAAATGTTTCATGAAAGAGCGAAAATTGAAATATATTGCATTGTATTTTCACACAAAATATAAAACTATGTGATTGTATGTTCGAGAAAATTTCTGTTGATTTCCAGGCATTCATTAACACATATTGCTATTTACAGCACCACTAATTTCATTGACAACTAGGATGTTGAACTCTTATGAAACTTTCATAACCATATTCTCCTTACTTGTTGCAGGATCTGAATATACAATTCTTGTAACATGTTCCAATACGTATTATTCCAAAGGAGACAGATCGGGAAATCGTGCTGGTCGACGATGAGGTCCATTATTGGTTATCCATCTATCATAAAATGAAAGATCGAGTAATACTCCTACAGTCCCGCAATTATGAGGCGGTGCTCCATCCTGTTGGTACTAAATATATCATCATCAAATGATTGACTATTTTCAACAACTCTCACACTGTATGATACAGTATCCTTCACTATTCAAATTTTCATCATAAATCTACATTTACTGAAGCATATTGTGCTTTATAGCATAATAAACTTCAAAACTACAACTCATTTGAAAATATTGGCCAGGGGTAAGGTGTGAATTTTCGTCAGCGCAAAAATGAGGAATATGACGATTGAATAATCAATTTTTGATAAAAGTAGCTTGCTCAGTCCTAACGTTTTAAATGTGGATCTTCCTGACTTTTTATCAGTAACCATTCATGAAACTCAATTCGACGATTTAAATTTATATCTTTCTGATGATGTACCAGATGATATATGAACGGTTTTCGATTATACTTTTTCACAATGCGGTTAACGATTCTGGGTTTGACTGATAGGTTTTTCTCACATTCTTTCTCGGACGCATTCGAATGAGCAGCAAAATACCAAAGATCATCTATTTCCATATTATCATTATCCATTTGAGGCTTTCTTTTGGTTATATACAAAAATAACTCATGATTCAAACAATTTTCCAACAGCATTTTAACGTATTATGATTCAGTTTGAGTTTTTCTGGACACTTTTCGACAAATAACATGCATGCTCGAAAGATAATTCGATTACATCGTTTGTTAACCGTAACCTATAAATTATGCTCACGAATTCATAAAATACATTTTTCATAGCATTTCTACTATATATCTAGTGTATATATCTAGCATTCGCATTGTATTTCCAACACTACTGGTATAACCGTAGGATTTGGAAAATTGCCATTATTTTCATTCGATTAAGCGTTAACTGACGGCCATCGTGCTGTAACTTGTATAAAATGAAATCGCAAAATTGTTAAAAAAATGGCGGTGACCTATCGTTGAGAGAAATAACTGCAGCACATCATCTTTTGTTAGCAGAAAACTCAGTGGCTGAAATCCAAAGAGTTTTAAATAATATTCTTGTAACACACCAAAAACAACCTATGTTCCATGACGACATATGCCTCTTATACCTTATGATAACTGTGTTATTTTAGGAGATATAGAGACGCGCTCAGGAAGCTAATTTGTTGTTTTTTAGATTCATCGATGATGTTTCGGATCTTTGCAAAACATCAAAAAATAAGCAGAAAGAAAAAAGCTAATGGTGAATTCGGGTTGCCCACGTCAATGAAACGGTCACTCTTCATTTCCAATCGTCTGAATTTGATGATTTTGGAAATGTAGTGAATGAAACGATGCTGATCAAGTCGTTGAAGTGTTAGAGAAACCTAAATACCATTGAAAAGTTTTAAAAGATAAAACTAATTCAGAGCTAGAAGGTCATCATCAATATTGAAATAATTTGCTGAAATATATTTTCATTTATTTATGTCAGGAGCATTGATGACAAACTTGAGTTTATTAACAAATTCTGCTCCTTTATTTTTCTTTATCCGAGCTTCAGAAACGAAAACTATGACGTAATCTTCCATTATTCTATAAATTGATCATACTCTCAATTTAGAACCCCTTGTGGCTTAGCCCCTGAACCCTCATTTCAGCGCACTAAATTGTCACATGGTTCGAGGGGCTACCGACGGCTGGGTAGAAAAATATCGTTATGAGAATACAGGTCGTCGTCTTCAGACTCGACAGCAACGTGGGATATTGATTGTGATTGTGAACTGATGATAGTGATGGGATCGGCGGTTGACGGTTCAGAAGAAGGAAATGCAGGTATTATAACCTCACAATTTTTAGTAGAGAACGTAGAAATAAAAATCATAGGTATGTAGCACGCATTAAATTCATTGTAGTAGCATATTATATAACCATTTATATGAAATATATACCTTGTGGTAAGCCGCTAATAACCTTCTTCTGAGCACTCATCTTACTACCCAGAAGTACTTGGGAGTTTCATTGGAGAGCATAGCATCTATCAGGTCTACTGTCTTCTTGCAGGGTATCACAGGCATGAGCTTGAAAATGATACCTGATCTCCATACATTATCGTACGCATCCGTCAGATCTATAAAGACGGCTGGTGTCTTTAGCTGATTCTGGAAGCCTGCTCCTATGAATGAGGTTAGTGATAGTACTCGATCCGTGCAGTTTCTGTTAAGGTGGAAACCTGCCTTCTCAACAGTAATTTTATCCAATATCTTGTGACTGATTATGTTGTATAAGAGCCTTTGTAGAAGCTTGTAGATCATGCTGAGTAGAACGGTCGAGCAGTAACTTTGTGGCATATCGTTTGGCTTGCCTGGTTTCAGTATGACTATAATTTTTTTTTATCATTTGAGGAGATGAGGAATTCTGCCTGTTTGGAGCATGTCCGTGGAGAAACCATCGTTTCGTGTATTGACCACAGTGTGGAAGAAACTCCGGGTAAATGCGGTCGAAACCGGGGGCTTCAACTTCTTTCGTATCTGCAATAGCTGCTGTGATCTCTTCGATAGTGAACGGGATGGAACTCAGATTCTCTTGATACTCAGATTCTCTCTGTTCATCGTCTCCATGAGCAGAGACGATAGAAAAGGCTTTGCTTATATGGAATGAAATGTTCATGGTTTGAAATATCTCTCATGCTTCGTGTACTACCAGACAGCATTCTTAAGAAAAATCTATATGAAATCAACACAATTCACGTGCGTAGTCATGAGTAGAAAGTATTTCTGAATGACAGACTGCACCTTTTTAATGAATACATGGCAGCTGTGAATTTGAAAGACTCTGAAGAATATTGGTTCGGGAAAAATATTCGGTTCTGTATGCATCATTCCAACAGAAGTCTGTTCAGCTGTACTTGCCCCCCTACTGTTCAGGTCGTATATTGCTGACATGCCTGCAAGTAGTTCGAGGAAGTTCGGATGCGCTGAAGACTGGACACTAGCTGCTAGACATGAATATATTGAAGTCACCAAAGATATCCCAACAAACGACCTGCTGGCTATCGGGCAATACTTTCGCAAGTGGAGACTAAAACCAAGTGCTACTAAGACATAGGTCTCCAGTTTCCACCTTAACAACAAATTAGCCAATAGAGAATTGCAATTCTATTATGAAGGCATGCTACTTGAACAAAATAAACAACCTAAATACCTAGGGGTTACACTAGATAGAACGTTGGGTTTTGAAAAAAATCTATCAAAAACAGCAGCTAAGATCAAAAAGCGTAATAACATCCTCCGGAAACTATATGGCACCACTTGGAGATCATCAGCTTCCACACTGAGATCTTCAAGCCTGGGCTTGATATATTTAGCAGCTGAATACTGCGCCCCGGTGTGGTTCAATAGCGCTCACGCTGCGGCAATGCGGCTCATTACAGGTACGATCACACCAACGCCTACTTTCTGGCTCCCCACGCTTAGCCACATAGCCCTTCCTTACCACCGTAGAGAGCATGCTTTTATCAGGGGATTCAAGAAGATCATTAATAATCCTGAACTACCGATTCACTCCGATACCCTCGCCTTCGAAAGAAACCGACTGCGCTCCAGGCATCCCCTTCTCAGAACTAGAAAGTTTCTGCATGATGCCGGTTTTGACATAACTGCCTGCTGGCGAAAAGAATGGAAGGTCCATGCTCCACTAGTCTACCACAACATGCCTTGAATATCCAACAAACCACTTGGATTCGACCTACCCCGCAAAAACATGGCTGACTCCCTTTTCAAATGGGATAAAAACCTTTTCTCCAGGTGCGATTATGTAGATGATATGCAATCAGCCACATAGCCACATCGTTGATGACTACCTACTGAGGGCCTACACTGGTGATCCCTCGGACTTCCGTACTGCGACTAAGGATGCAATTGAATATATACGTGACTCAGATGGTTCTTTGTAAACACACTTTTAAGTCCAAATCTATTGAGAACATTTTACCAACACCAGAACAATAATTACGGTCTCTCAACGCGCGTTTCGCTAACCAAGTTAGCGTCCTCTGGAAGTCATAGAGACATTATGAGTTTTTGAATATCTTTTTCTACTATACCAGGAAGTAGAAAGTCTGCTCAGACTTTTTCAATGTCATTGTGATATCCAACTCTACTGACATCTGAACATGTCCACTCGATTTCCCATCAACAGGTGGATCTACATTTGTTGGATCTATATTCGTTCATGTATGTAGTAACCCATTTGGAATAATATGTATTCCTTTCTAGGATCTGACTTCTACTAAGAGTTATGTACTAAATAATATTTTTCAATCGAGAACTTCAATACCGACTAAATAACCTTATTTGGTCATATAGAAAATGATCAGGTGTGTATTCCCGAAATTTCGATGAAATATATGCAAGGAATATCCAATAAAGAACGGAATACTTCGGCACTAGCCATTTTCAATAGTTTTTGGGGTAACGAATAAATAAGTACATTCAAATGATATCATTATGATGATCTACTAACATGATGAATTTCATTTCAACTTACTTCGGCATACTAAGAAAGCTAACAGTTGTATAATAACCCATAATGAGTCCGTTAACAGTCATCATTGACATATATTGCCAATCATGATGAAATAGAACTGGTAGATGACTTCTAGGTTTGGCGTTACATAAGGGAACGAGTAAACCAAACCCATAAGCTTGCAGCACATTGAGAAGAATGAACCATTTAGCATTCTTACGCTAAAACAAAAAAAAAGGAATATGTTATTTCCAATAACATAATAATATGGGGGATATATTTCAATTGAAGAAGTATTCTATATTAATACAGTATACGCTATGTGATATTTCTGTTGATCAATATTTCTATATATCATCATATTATATCTCATTTGAAAAAAATGAGATATAATATGATAATGAAAGAAATTGATTATATACTTATGATATTTGAGTGTTTCTTCATATCACTACAAATTTTTAATTGAAACGGTTATATTTTTAGGAGATATAATTGTTGGGAAAAGAAAATTTTGGCTTTCTACTTATCCATCTTAATACAAAAAAAATGTGGGAATCTGCTGGTGAAAAAACGGAAGCAATCAATTTCAAAGAAGTTACTCCTCACAAAGATGACGAGAGAAAACGCCCTCTTGAAATAACTACTTCCATATATATTGAATCACATGAAACAAAAATACTTTCGAAATAAATACTTCTATATGAACACTGAATAATACAAAAAACACTTTTCCCTACTCAGTTCGTATTCCAAACATCCGTTGTGAAATTAAATCAGAAATTATTCACAGAATTCCTACACAATATACTGAATGTAAGAGAAACTTTCACTGACATGGAACACTGTCATCCTCACTGGCAAACATCCGCCGTAAAATACTTGCCTTATCAGCTCTTCAGTACCAAATCTTGATAAAAATTATGAGAAAAAATATTTATTACATTCATAAAATCACGACTTCATGTCACGAAACGTCATCGAAGACACTGCGTAATGACATTCATTTGCTTATTCGATTGAAACATCCAAAGGAAACTTGTTTGAACTGAAAGGGTTATATTTTCAGGAGAGGGTAATTTTTGGGAAAGAAGGTTTTTGCCTTTCTACTTCCCTACCCTGGTACAATAAAGTGTGGAAATCTTCTGGAAGAAGGAAAACAGCAATCAATTTCATTAAAAATTAATGCATACCAAGATGTGATGATGTAAAGAAATTACTTTCAGACACAAACTAGAATATTGCCAACTTTTTTGTATCAAGATGGAGAAGTGGAAAGCCAAAAACTTTCTTTCCCAAAAAGCAACCTCTTTTAAAAATATGACCCTTTCAATTTGAGCAAGATTCCTTTGACTGTCATTCAAATGTCATTACGCACTGTAATCGATGACATCTCATTCTGTAACATACAGTCGTGATTTTTTGAATAAAATGAATGTTTTTCTTATAATGTTATTCAGATTTAGTGCTGGAACGCTGATAAGGCAAATGTCTAACGGCAAAACATCGGTTGTCTACCAGTGAGGATGACAGTGTTTCATGTAAGTGAAATTTCATCTCTTTCATTTAGTGAGTTGTGTAGGAATCCTATGAGAAATATTCGTTTGCATTCTATAACGAATGTTTGGAATACAAACTGAGTAGAATAAAGGTTTTTTTTGTATGATTCAGTGTTCACATAGAAGTATAAAAAATATTTTGAAATGAAATATCAAAATATCTCTCCCAACTATCCACACAGTAGGCGACGGTAAACCTCTGTCGAAAAACAACTACTTCCCAGGCTGATACCACGCGGGATATTGAATTATATCCGACATACATTTATGCAAGAAAACTCACAGAGATTAAGTCTCGCAGATGTTTATCGTTCATCCAACAGCAGAACCAAGCTGAAATTATTCACGTAGATAACCTGCAGACTGCGGTTTCGAGATATCATCGGTACTGGAAATATCCTACCTAGACAGCAAAGTGCCTGGGACTCGATTACTTTCAACATGGCAGAAAAGCGAAAAAACGTCCCGTATACTAAAACTCTAACACAAATCAAAGATGAAAACTATCGAGGATAGATGCATACGTATAGGAAAAGAAATATTTCGAGTTTCGGTAAATGGGATGTTTCTGCCCCGCTTAAGGCTTTGTTCAGGAGATGGAGTTGTTGCTATTAAACAATATTTCTCTCAGACAAAGGTTTCATATATGTAGAGGAGCCGTGTTGAAGTTGATCGAGTCTAGTTTTTGTATAATTCAGTGTCCATATAGAAATATGTAAAAGTTTTGAAAGTATTTTTTTTTCGTGTAGTACAATATTTATGATAAAGTAGCTGTTTCAAGATGGCATCTTTCAGTTTGTGTCTGAAAGTTACTACAGAGGTCCATTTTTGAAATTGATTGCTTTTCTTGAAAGATTTACACATTTTTTCGTATCATGATGGAGAAGTAGAAAGCCAAAAACTCCCTATATCATGAAAACTCTCCCGACAAAAGTATAATCTCGCATTATCTGAAAAAAGTTCATCAAGATGTTGCCTGATTGAAGATATCAGCAATACTTCTCCTATTGGATCGAACAATGATAACAAACATTAATTTTTGGGTATATTAATTTTGAGAGTTCTTTTTGGCCACTAATATAGTCATACATGATAATGTTTTCTATTTAAAAATGAAATAGGTCTCAACTGGCAATATGACCTTCGATAATGTGTATTGGTTACTAATTTGAAATAGAATGCAGGGAGTTTTGCATACACAATTATTTTCATCCCAATAGTGGTGACGTTCATTTAAATTTTTACAGGTTTACGTTCATATTTCCCTGCTGGCAGATGAATGGCTAGTAAAATTTGTCTTTGATGTGTTGAAGTGTTTCGTCAATTTTTCTGTGATTTTTTTTTCTTCATGGTAGTTTTGGATCATGTTTTATATCTTTCTTGGTGATATCAGTGAGGTTTTTTGGTACATTTTTTGAGTTTCAAGGATCGAAACTTGAAATACTTTGAAGAACAATTGTAGAAGGTGCGTGAATTTCAAAATTTTTAAAATATAGTCAATATCGAATTTCAAGATTGAAATATGAGTCTTTACGAAACCAATTATTTCTCTTTTGTTCGATAATTGGAAATGGGCACTTTTTTTTTGAAAAGTAATGTTCATATTTGGATCATTTGGAAAATTCAATACTGAGTTCATCAACATCAATCAATTGTTTACTTCTGTTTCTATGATGTGTATTTTAAAAATTGTGTATTGTTCGTTGTTGGAATGAACAGTATGATCGTTATTATTGAAATTTCACTCTTGATCAACAGTTCTACTATCATAATTTTTATTTCGCTGTGCCCATTCATTTGAAGATTGAATGTTCAAAATTTCATGGTTTGGTTGAGTTTGAGTCGAAACGTTATTTTTGTTGTTCATGTTTTCGTTTTTATTGCTATTTGCGAACTCGAGATTTGATTGAAGTTCAGTTGAAAGGTCGACTCCGTCAATTGTGGTATTTTCGTTTTCTTCTGGTTGAAAGGGGATACTTCCGATATAGAAGTATACTATGACAACAGTGAAATTTTCGTTACTGTCAAAATTGTCATTTTCTTTTGTAATTTCATTTTCTTCAGTATTTACCTCGATTCTAAAAAGGTCGTCTGCATTAGTATCATGTTCTCCTCTTTAATTGAAGTTATATTCATACAATTCTGTACAATGAGTTGTTTTCTAGTGGGAAATCTTCAAAGAAAAAAGCCACTGCAAAGACTCATAGTCCGTTATGATATCGAACATTCTACCCAATGAATGAGGTCGAGAATATTTGATAGCCCAAACTGAAGCTGAAAGTTATCTTTCTGTCACTGGATTATTCTGTTCAGCAGATTATTCAACAAATTTTTGAAGGTTTCAAAGCATGTTATGAATTCCTGATCATGATCTATTTTGGCACTCTTCTTCAGGAACTTGCTTATGGGCTTGGTTATTTTCGCTAAGTTATTGATGAATTGCCCCAAAAAATCTGTAACGATTGGAGAAATGAGAGTCACTTGTATTTTAGGGCGTTGAAATACAGCGGTGAGTCTACCGGATGATGTTGTGCTGAATCGTGAAATTGCTACAATCGGTCCCACTACGTGATCCATTTCGGTCATTAGTTTATGCGATGGAAAATTATTCTGAATACTTTTTGGCCAACATTCAAAAATATAACAATTGTTTTCAAATGACGTTGTGTGGCGTAGTGCATATTGTACCGTAGAAGTCTATGTCAATTTTCAAGATATAATACCATGATAGTTTCTGGATAGTATTTGAATTTCGTCAAAAAATTTTAAATTCCACGGTCAGAGATTTCTGTGTCGAAGCTGTGTTTCAAATTTTTCGGTCATGGTCTGCAGATTTCTATGACTGACGTATTGTTTACTACTGCAGTCGAAGTGCTAGAGTTGTTCTTAACACAGAAACTACAATACTGAAATTCCAAGAAATTCAATATTATCTTGGATGATTGCAGATAAAACCTTTACGTATTTTGTCACAGAGGATGTTTCTGCGCATTTTTTTCTTCGATTGTCTGCTAACTTATGGTTTTTCAAATTGTATACATCATTCAATCCTGAGGCAGTAATGAGTTTAGTGGGTCAGCTAGTAACTAATATTTTTAATTTGTGTTATCTTCTTCATGACATGCTGAATTCCATTCGTTAATGACAAATAATTATATATTCGAAGCTCATATCTCGAGTTTATACTATGTGAAAATCCATTATTTTCTGAATTTTGATAATCAATCGCGTTAAGTGTGAAATAATTTGATAAACACTGTTACTTAATGATTGTTGTGATTGTTGTACTCATGAAGTATCATTGAAATTTCGAATTCAGTTCCTCCTTTTTCGAGCTAACACTAGACATAAGTCCACTACATAAAACTTCTTTCCATTGAGAAAATTTTGAAGTACTCAAGCTCACTATTCCCATTTTTCCAGACAGTTTATACCACTCACCATTTGCTTTCAATATCGCTGCAGATATACATACATAGGTATATAGTGGGGATCAACAGAAGAAACAATTCGAGTATACAGGAGACTTCACAAAGCGCTCAACGAAGGATAGAGGATGATTCTCGTTCAGCGTTGATATCGAAGATTGCCTTTGTAACTGCAATGGAGAGCGTCTATCTTTGATATTCATGAATTTAGTCTAATTTGATTCCACAGCTATCGTCTTTATCAGAAAAGATGTCATCATCGTTTACTGATGAGACTCATTCTCCAAGGCAATTGATGAGTCGAACAGCACTCGAATTGTTTATTTTTGAGTTGTGAGTCCATCTTGCAAAATCAATATGGTTTTTGATTCTTGTAAATTTAAATTAGATCGAAAGAATTTCAGTTGAATCTGTATATTCAAATCAGAAATCAGAAAGTTTCTTGTAGATACAGTAGTGGAGGTCTCACTATCGACAAAAGTTATTGACGGTAGATATCAAACTTTTCAAATTTTCAAAATCAAATTTTTCCAATTCATATCAAACTATTCGTATATTAAAACTTTTATTCTAGTTTTTCATTCATGATGGGTCAAATCGCGAAATCACAATAATAAACGTCACATTTTGTGTAAATTGAATTTTTTTTTGTGGCCGAAAGAGAGAAAAATCTGTCCGTGTATATTAATAATTTCATGAACGTCGCGTTCCTGTTAACTAGATATCAACATGAACATGAATCAATAATTCCTTGTGTAATTTGAATTCCTTCATCTGATTATAGGCTTCATCAGTTGATATTACCAAATACGATTCAATATAGAAAAAAGAAAATGGAGAATTGAATAATATTTAGGATGGAGATTTTGAATATTCCAGGTTCATTCAAAACTTTGGAATTCTCTAAGGCTCAATTAATTAGTAAGAATACTTACCGTCATAATTGGAGTTGCATAAAATCTTCCCACCATGCTTGATATTTCTTTCAGAAGAAAAGTGGACACAGGCATGAAAAATTTTTCTGTAAAAAAACATACCAGTTTAGTGAAATCATGAAGAAATTCGAAAATAGAATGATTCATCGATGATACCTACATGTACGTTTGTACATAAAACCAGAAAAAATAATTAGTTTCTCAAATGTTATATTATCTATGCATTCGCAAAGAAGGCACGTTGAATTGATTTGGAGATGGATCTTCATTTCTGAAAATGGGTGTCATTGTGTACTTTTCCATTCTAGAGAAAATTTCCCCTCATTAAGGAAATTACGATTTGTGCAAGAGAAAGAGTGCTGACAGGCATACTCTGTATAGAGTTATAATTTTTTTTTGTTGAGTGTGATATTTCCAGCGTATCGTAAGGTTACCAATATTTTCACTTGAAAATGATTGCATGAATTTTCAGATGGAAATGTTCGCCACATCAGATAGTAATTACTTCATAGTTGTTATTTTCGAAACAAAAAGTTTTGATTCTCATGTCAAAATCATCTTTAAAATGTACGAGAAGCTGTTTATTTCATTATGTTAGGATAATTATTGTTTCACAAAATAAGGTTTCCGAAAGTAGTACCAGTTGACCAAAATTCGAGTAAGTAGACCGTGGTCAAATGGAACATGAAGTATCAAACGTCTCGTTTATTATTGTGGCAGACATCATCAGTCGCATATACGTTGACTGCGAAGACGAAAGATATGATTCGATGTATCAGCAACGAAGGATTGCTGAAACCCTGTCCTCGTAGTCAATTTATATGTCACTGATGATGTCTGCCGCAGTAGCAAATGAAACTCTGGTATTTCAGGTTCTATGTAATCACGGTCTACTAAACCAGATTCGATTTTCATCGATGGTGACTTCGGCTATGATAGCTTTTGTTCTTATAGTATCGAGCTGAATTTTCATCAACTGGTAGACTACTTTTTTGTAGACACAAGCAACATCAAGTTCCACATTCCCTGGATTCTTCCGTCAGACCGCTTAATGGAAACATTGTCAAACTACCATTGTCGTCATAAGTGAAATATTGTAGGCTCAATTCATTTGTCGCGAATTGATATTCAAACAAATCACATTTTACGAAATAATTTGATTGACAGAAGTTGATGCATTGGTAACAAAATGTATATGTATGAATACTTACTGCCCCAAAGACCTTCGCTTTCCGACACAATTAAGATTCCGATAGTTGTTGAACTGAGACCCAGTACTGGTGTTGTCAGTACCAGTGGAAGTAATACAAGCCATGTGCGTTTGTATGTTTCTTTCAGGTCTGCAAGCGAAGGTAACGGTTTTTTGGTTTCCTCTTCAATACCTTCCATATAATACTGGTAGAAAGGTGAATATTTGGTAAAGTAAATCATGACTGCCGCTGTCATCACAATTCCCAATCCACATGAATAATAAATCAGTGCAACTTGAGTTGAACTTCCTCCAATAACAAGACAAAGTATTTGTAGAAGTGCACTGATGACACCTGATATAGAATAACCATAAGTGTGAATTTTTATATATTCTGGAGGAAATCTTGCCATCAAAGTGTAGTAACTAATCGATAATGTGATTGTGAAAACTGAAAAAAAAAATGTATAACTTGATGCATTCTACATGTATACGAATTGTACTAAAACTAATACTCACAGGTATTGATTATCATAATTATTATGGTGAGGATAAAGAAGCCCAATTGCCCTGTAAAAAAAAATGTTATATTATCGTTTCCAAACTCACACTAGTAGGTGGTTTGAGCCGATTTCGAAACCTCCCTCTACCACTTTCAATCTTGAATTAATTTCTACATATGTCGCAGGCAAAGTGACTCTATTGATTCACGAGGCTGTTCCAAAGATTTAAGGATTCG